TTATTATTAAAAATACAATAAAAAGAAGGATGAATATTTCACGTTTATAGAAAAACACCGAATTTCTCTATTGCCAGTGGAATTTGGATAATCTAAAATTTAAAATTTATTATTAAAAATACAATAAAAAAAAAAGATGAATATTTCACGTTTATAGAAAAACACCGAATTTCTCTATTACCAGTGGAATTTGGATAGCATAGAAGACTTTTCCTTCAATGTACCAATAAATAAATAAAAAATGAATAGAAGACTTTTCAGCGTTTTCTGCATGGTTTTGTTGGGTGTGAAATCCCATTGCAACATAATATCAGGCTTAATCTCCTATTGTTTACACCTAAAAAAAATCAATAAGCTAAGGCCACGTGTCAAGGTAAAGCCCAATTATCAAGAAAATCAATAGGCTGGATTTGAACTCGGCTGACTTACAATTTAACGGCCCAGACGGATTTCCAAAGAGGTTGGATCTTAGGTGGCAAAAGATAAGATCGGATCTGGTAGTTTGAGTTTGATTTAAAATGGGAAATTGAGGATTTTTAGATAGTTATCTTTAAGGTTGTTGGAGATAAGGTTAAATAAAAATCAGATAACTATTAAATAACTGCTAGACCTGCAATCCCATTACTAGATCATGGAGGAACAGTGCCGAAAATCGAGGAACAGTACTGAAGATCATGGAGGAAGTTACCAGCATCGAAGGGAACAAAGACAGAGAGAAGAGAACAGTTCGAGGCCTGCCCAACACACACACACAGACTGCCCAGAGCATGTTTTTTCAGCTTTCAGACTGCATTTTTCAGATTTCAGTAATAGTTTCCAGATTTTTCAGATTCTTCAGATTAGTTCATAGCCTTAGCTTAGGTTTGTTCATCTTTGTTCATATTTCCTTCTGTAAATTCCAATTTAGATTAATTTTTAAGAATTTGGAAGCAACTTAGCCTTCAAAACAGGTCTGCCCTTTTGATTCGGTTAGTTCTTCTTCTTTTTATGGATTTAGTTATGTTATTTGTTCATGTAAATATGATGAACATTTTCTACCTTTGTTCTTTTGTTTCTGCACAATATCCAGACATGCAGTTTGTTTAATTTCAATTTCCAGATTTAAATTTATAAGTTTCCAGACTTTAATCATTTCATAGTTTCTTCTTCAGTTTTAATTATCATTATGGGCTGCGTAGTTGAAATCATTATCTGTTATTTTACTTTTTCTGTTATCTGCGAATTTAATCTTCATGGCATGTTATTTTCTGTTATTTTCTGTTATTTACTTCATGTTAGTTTAATTGCTTTAGGATATTGCATTTATTTTAGGATTTGTAGCTTTTATTACACTTGTTTGGTTGTGAAGTCCTTGGAGGTTTCCAAGGCAATTAGTAACCCATTTTGCAGAACTCTACCCTCTGTTTTGCAACATTGTCTGGGACGCAATTCATTTCACAGACGTTCTTTCTAGCCATCCTATTGGAGGTCGACCGCTGGAAAGGAGAAGGGTCGTCTGGAAAATCCAGTTTTCTTGTTTTTAAACAAAGTAAGTGGCACGCCTAATAACCCAACTCACGTGGTAAAGGTCAGCTGAGGATTTTTGGGGAAACAATCCTTTGTTGGCACGCCCAGTGGGACAACTAGCAGGATGTATCAGTTACAGTTCACAAATCCTCTGTTCATACATTCAGAGGCGTCTAGAGCCATGCCACCGAGAAAGAGCAAAGATAAAGAGGTTCAGCCAGCCCAGGCTGAACATGCAGATGACAGTCTAGTTTACTCAGAGGGTGAGAATGATCCAGTTGTTCCTCCTTTTTTATCATCCTTCGTGGAGCGATCTTATGGCAATCCAATTTTCAAAGAAAGGGATGCAGACCGCAGAGGTGACTTTGCTGAATCAAGTAATGTGTTTAGAGGTATGACTGAACGTTTGGATTTAGCATTCAAAGAACAAAACCAGGCTATGCGGAGACTTGTTGACAGTTAAGCAGAATCCTCCAGACGTCAGGAAGAGTTAATTAGACAATGTATAGAAAAGATGAGATGGGTCTTTGAAGAAGGCACTAGGGTGATGCGAGAAACCGGGGAAAAAAGTCGCAGAACACTGCAAGCTGTTTCAGAACAAGTGGTTGAGCAAGTGCGACAGCCCAGACCTGAGATCTTTCCTCCAGTCGTTGAAATGCCCAGACAGATTTAGGAAGCCCCAATCCCAGCACTCGGGGGGCAAGGGAATCAGCCTCATCCCAATATTCAACAACTGAATTTTTTCATTGGTGAAGGGCAAAGACAACACGAATTGATGGAGGCTGCTACTCCTGATGGAGGCTGCTACTCCTGATGGAGGCTGCTACTCCTGTTGCAGACCATGGCCATCAACCTCATCATAAGTATATTCTGCCAGCTGGGAAGGGAAATGTGGGTCCTCATCATCAACCTTGTTCAAGGGACTTTTTCCAGCCACAAGTTCCTCCAGCCCAGCCGGTACGGTGTGGTTTGCAGAATCAACCAGCTCAATTCTTTAATAGAGACCATGGGCCAGCTTTGAGGCCATTGGAAAAGATTGATAAGGACATGTTGAGATCTCCAGACAAAGCGAAGGAAACCATGGGAGTAGATGCAGATCCTTTTTCAGCTGTGTCTGTCGGCGTGAATGTTGCAGACCTCAGGAGTGTTGCCAGAAATCGTACTCTGCCTTATGCTCAAAGGAATCTTGCTGCTGAAGACTTGAGGTGGGTGTTTGAGGCACAGAGATCCAGACATAGCAGGAGCGTCAGGTCAGACCAACAGAGGCTCGGGGGGCAAGGAAGGATCACTGTGGCCAGGAACTTCAGTCTAGAAGGTGCCAGACGTTACTCAACTGGTACTAGATCTCCAAGGATGGTCAAACCGCCACTTAAATCACCTTCCAGACGGTGGGAGAAAGTCAATCATCCCAAGTTTCCAGCCCAGAATCCTAGAACCTTGAGGCGCAGACTGCAACGCAATAGAGCTAAAAAGCGAAAAAGGCAACAGAAGCAGATGGAGGTTGAGAGAAGTTCATCTCGCAGACCACGCCAACCTACAAAAAGGAATATGGTGTGGGTGAGAAAAGAGAAAAAGGAGGTTGTAACCCAGACTCTACTGAAGGGGGATGACCAATCTTTAGTCTCTCCAAAGGTGGCATCTGTCATTGTGAGTCCAGACGGAGTTTTGAAAGCAACTTTTGAAGCATAAGAATAGTCTGGGAATCGTGGATCTGAATCAAAAGAAGATGGCATTATTCATTTTGGGCAATTCTCAGTGAATTTGTCATGGCTGGTGCTGACATTACCCTTGGTTTTCCAAGCCAAGAAGGAGGAGGAACCAATCGTCTGTGAGTTCCCAGAACAGACAGAAGAAGAGGTAATCATTATTCCAGCTCAGGATGATGAAGAGGAGGACATGGCTGACAAAATTGTGTTTGAAAAACCAGAAGAAAAGATGGCCAGACACATTAGGCCACTTTATATCAATGCTCACATGGATGGGACTCCAATCAGCCGTGTCTTGGTGGATAATGCAGCTGCAGTCAATGTCCTTCCAACTTGCATGCTCTACAAAATAGGCAAGTCTCTTGATGATTTAGTGCATACTGAGGTTACAATTAGTGAATTTACGGGAGGGGTGAATCGATCAAGGGGTGTGCTGCCTGTTGAATTAACAGTGGGAAATAGGACACTGATGTATGCGTTTTTTGTGGTGGATACTGTTGCTACTTATAATGCACTTTTGGGGCGTGACTAGATTCATTCAAGTTGGTGTGTCCCTTCTTCACTTCACCAGAAATTGATTTTCTGGAATGGAGGCAAAGTTGAGGTCGTGTCTGCAGATGATAAACATTTTTCAGCCAATACTCACCTGGTGGAGGCTAGATATTATGAAGAAGACATTGGTACCATTCGGTTTTTTGGGATGGATAGACATGGGAAACCGATTGGGATAACAGCATGCAGTAGACCGTCTTTGTCTAAGCGTGCTGTAGAGGAAGTCTGTGATGAACTTCTTCGACCAACAACAATAATTCCTTATAGGCCGAAGGGGAAACTAAAAATTGAAGAAATCTAATGAAGCAAGCTCGTCTGAGACAAGAAAGAGAGAAGGCCGTGTTGGAGATAATAAAGAAATTAGTGGCCTATTTTGCTGAAAAAGCAGTTCAAGTAGACAGGTCTGAGATTGTTCATGAAGGTGAGGAGGCAGATCAGGGTGATGAAATAACTTTGGAGGAGCTGGATCTTGCCCCAGCCAAGTTGGATGACTTAAAAGCTGAAGTTCAAGACCCACTGGAGGAGATCAATCTAGGGTCTGAAAGTGAGTCAAAGGTAACATTTATCAGCGGCTCTCTTGAGCCGCAAACACGAGATCAAATTGTCAGACTTTTGCATGAATTTAAAAACTGTTTTGCTTGGGACTACTCAGAAATGCTAGGTCTGGATCAGAAACTGGTGGAACATAAACTGCCAATTGCAGAAGGATTCAGACCGTATAAACAGCCGCCCAGACGCATGTCTGCAGAGGTCACTTTAAAGGTGAAAGAAGAAATTGAGCGGTTGATAAAAGCTGGATTCATTCGGACATGCAGGTATGCAGAATGGTTATCAAATGTAGTGCTTGTGCTGAAAAAGAATGGAAAATTAAGAGTCTGTGTTGATTTCCGAAACTTGAATTTAGCTACACCAAAGGATGAGTATCCTATGCCAATTGCAGACTTGTTAGTTGATGGAGTAGCTCGTCACAAAATTCTATCTTTCATGGATGGCCATAGTGGGTACAACCAAATTTTTATTGCAGACGCAGACGTTCCTAAGACAGCCTTTCGATGCCCAGGTGCTGTTGGAACTTTTGAATGGGTTGTGATGCCATTTGGTCTGAAGAATGCTGGAACTACTTATCAAAGTGCCATGAATGCAATTTTTCATGATATGATTGGTAAGTTCATGGAAATCTATATTGATGATGTTGTGGTGAAGTCACAAGGGGAAGCAGACCACCTAGTCCATTTGAGGAAGGCTTTTGAGCGGATGAGGCAACATGGCTTGAAAATGAACCCACTAAAGTGTGCCTTTGGAGTGTCTGCGGGTAACTTCCTTGGGTAACTTCCTTGGGTACTTGGTGCATGAGCGTGGTCTGGAGGTTGACAAAAACAAAGCCATGGCTGTGATTGAGGTGAAACCACCACAGAACAAGAAGGAGTTGCAAAGATTTCTTGACCAAGTTAATTTCTTAAGACGTTTCATTCCTAACTTGGCTGGGAAAACCAGAGTCTTTTCTCCTCTGTTGAAACTCAAGTCTGAGGCTGATTTTAAGTGGGAAGAACACCACCAGTCTGCCTTTGATATGATAAGCGGTACTTATCCAGACCACCAGTACTTGTACCGCATGTGAAAAATAAACCTTTAATTTTGTATATATCCGCCGCAGACGAGTCCATAGGATGTCTCCTGGCGCAGGAAAATGATAAAAAACAGGAGCAGGCTGTGTATTACTTGAGTCGATGTTTGACCCAAACCGAAGTGAAACATTCTTCGGTCGAAAAGTTATGTCTTGCTCTCTTTGTTACTGCAATAAAATTGAGACATTATTTGATTTATTCTGAGGTCTATGTGGTTGCTAAGACTGATATTGTCAAATATATGTTGTCTCGCTCTTTGTTGAGAGGCCGAATAGGTAAATGGATTCTAGCCTTGTCTGAATTTAATTTGAAGTATATACCACAGAAGGCTGTTAAGGGATAGGCACTGGCAAACTTTCTTGCAGATCATCCATGTCTGGAAGTGGAAGCAGACGAAGAAAAAGGGATTAACTTGTTTTCAATAAGTTTAGTTCCCTGGAAACTTATTTTTGATGGATCTAGCACAGAAACCATGTCTGGAGCTGGAGTCGTGGTTATCTCCCCGTCTGGGCTAAAAACACAAATGTCTTTCCAGCTGGATTTTGATTACACAAATAATCAAGTAGAATATGAAGCTTTGATTATTGGTCTTGAGATGTTGGTGGAGCTTAAAGTATCCATGGTTGAGGTTATAGGGGACTCACAACTAGTCTTAAAGCAATTGTCTGACACGTGTCTAGAGACTAGAACTATGAAGCTAATGAAATGGCCCAAATTGCTTCAGGTTTGCGAATTCCTGAAGGTGTGATGCAGAAAGTTGTAATAGTTGAAAAACGCAGTTTGCCATCAATTCATCAACGTGGCATGACAGTTTCTACTTGCAGCATTGATATCACCCAGACAGACTGGCGATTTCCAATTATTCAGTACCTTAAGGATCAGAGCACTAAGGTGTCTAGGAAAACCAAAATGCAAGCTCTCAATTATGTCTTGATTAAGGATGTGCTTTATAAGAGAGGCCATGATGAACTACTGCTACGTTGTCTGGGTCCAGATGAAAGTTTCCAAATGCTGTCTGATGTCCATGATGGGATTTGTGGTGCACACCATGCTGGGATCAAGATGCGCTGGTTGATTCGCAAACATGGTTTCTTTTGGCCATCTGTCTTGAAAGATTGTATTGCTTATGCTAAGGGCTGCAAATCTTGTCAGATCCATGGGCCATTTCAAAGAGTTCCAGCCTCTGAACTTAATTCTATTGTGAAACCGTGGCCATTCCGAGGTTGGGCTATCGACTTGATTGGTAAGGTGTACCCCCCTTTATCAAAAGGTCATTCATTTATTATATTGGCAACGGATTATTTTACCAAATGGGTGGAGGCTAAACCAATGAAGAAGCTAGACCAATCTGATGTAATCAAGTTCATCAAAGAGGACTTTATTCACAGATTTGGTCTGCCAGAAACAATTACAACAGACCAAGGCACAGTTTTTGTCAGCCATCAAGTGGAGGCATTTGCAAAGGAAATGGGTTTCCGTCTGTTAAATTCTACTCCTCATCATGCACAAGCTAATGGGCAGGCGGAGGCTTCTAACAAGGTGGTGATTAATTTGCTTGAAAAAATGGTGGATGACAATCCCAGACGCTGGCATGAATTATTGTCTGAAACACTGTGGGCTTATAGAACTTCACAAAGAAGTTCCACCAAGATGACACCTTTTGCCTTGACATATGGCCACGATGCAATCTTGCCAATGGAGTTAACAGCCAGGTCTTTAAGAATAGCGATTCAGCATAATCTCCTGTCTTGGGAATATGACGAGGCTATGATGCTTGAACTTGAGGACCTTGAAGACACACGTTTGACAGCTTTGGATAGATTGCAAGTTCAAAAACTCAAAATTGCAAAGTCTTACAACAAGAGAGTAAAAGGTAAAAATCTGGCAGTTGGTGACTTGGTCTGGAAAGCAATTTTACCTTTTGGCAAGAAAGATCACAGATTTGGGAAATGCTATCCAAATTGGAAAGGACCATTCCGAATTCATGAAGTGTTGAGAGGGGGCGCTTATTGGTTAGAGTCACTTGATGGAGAGCTTCATCCCAGAAGAATCAATGGAATTTATTTCAAGCCTTATTACCCCACAGTCTGGGAGGCAAGAGGCTTAGAGTCTCAAGAAGCTGTCTGAGCCAGGTTCATACTTCTGTTTGTGCATAAATAGGTTGATTTGCTTTCATGCGTTTATTCCAAAATAAGAACAAGTTTGATCAAGCGGCCATGACTGGCTGTGGATGGCTGGATGCGCTCAGACAGAGTCAGCTGTGAAAAAGTTGGGAATACCTGCTGCAATCATCTTGGGATTTAGCAGATTTTGCACGTGGCCTTTGGAGTTTGAAAGGTAATTTAAAATTGGTTAAATCCCTGATTCAGTCCCTTAACTTTCATTTTTGGACTAAAACTACCCTCGAACTTCAAAAAGTACTAAAAATATCCTTAAACATTAATTTTTGGAACCAATTTTATCCTTCCGTTAGTTAAGTGCTGACATGGCAAAATTTACCGTTAACAAATTCAATTTTTATTATTATTAAATATTACCTGGAAATAAAAGGAGTGACGTGGTATTTTTAATTATAAAAATATGGTGATTTGGCATTTTTAATTATAATTTAATAAATAAAAATTTCTCTTTTTTTCTTTTTTTTCTTTCCTTTCCTTTTTTTTT